AAAGACTTTATGTTAATTGCTTCTCTAATCAATCTCTGAACGCTTGTGAACGCTTTAATCATCTTTAATGTCTTTTGAATGTCTGAAGCTTTTATTTGGTTGTTTATTTGCTTTTCTGGTTTATGAATTGTCTCATGAACGCATTTCAATATCGTAACGATTTATGGATTATTATAGGCATTTGAAGCTATTGTTGACTCTTCCTAATGCAAGGTTAATTAAAACTTTTTTCCAATTCCAATTATCAACAAATGCAAAACACAATAACACACACACACACACACACTAGAAGCGTATAAAGAACTTAATAATGATAATACAAATATTTTGAATTCATTTATTAAATTAAAATTTAATTATATACCGGAACGAAAGATGGAACGATTCCATTAAGACTTTTCCTCTTCATTCTATATATATGACTACCTCAGCAGCAGCAACAGCAGCAGCAACAGCAGCAGCAGCAGCAGCAGCAACATTCTCAGTATCATTTCAATAATCGATCACTTCGGACTCTTCTGTGACTCTTCAACAACGTTAAGTGTCTGACCTTTGACTCAAACAGATGGGCCTCCAACTGGCGCTTATTCTGAGCTGTCTACCAGACCAGACATTATCAATAATATTTTATAAACAAATATTTGGTTTCACTTAAGATTATTAAATTACAATTAAACTTCTTTAATTCAGCACTCCGTGTGCTATACGGGCTCTGCGAGTTTCTGTAAACGTCATTGTCTACAATTAAATGTCAATCTGCTCTCAAGGGCAAGGTTTGTCTTTGCATTATTTAAATACCAGTTTACCCACTTTTGCTACGTTCACCGACTTGTTCCGACAGAGGCTTGACTTTGTTACCAACATATGTAATTTAGTTTTGTTTTTTTTTTCTTAATAAGAAAAAAAATTTTTTACTCAAATATCGGTAGCTGTGATTATTTACATAATTTGTAATTCATTGACTTCATAACTGCTTTATATAATTTATTCTAGCGTTATTATTTAATTTATTTAAATGATTTTAAACATGCAGCAAACAATTTTGCATTTATAATTAATGTATTTAATAATGTAATAAATATTATTTAATTAAAATATAAATTTATTAAATAATTTAAAGACAATCTTATTTATATTATATTATTACATATTTTGAAGAATATTTGATATTAAAATTTTGATATTACAAGTATTAAATATTATTTAATTAAAACATAAAATTATTTATTTAAAATATTTCAAATTTAATATTTAATTATGTTAATCTAATATTATTATTAATATTAGTTTAAAAAATTATTATATTATTTGGTTAAGTTAAGCTTAAAAGCGGGCGAGCTTCTGAAAAACTCCAAGCAGTTACTCTTTTAGAACATTTATATTCTTACAACCGTTTTAAAGCTACTTCTAGTTTAGAAGCAAGTTTCACTATAGAGTTGATAGATCTGTTACGATTTTTTAGTAAAAGTTTTAATAAGTTTAAATTGAAATTTTTTTAATGTTGATTTTTTCTTGACGAGAAAGACGCGTCTTATGACGAAAAGAAACTATTTTAAAAGTTAGAAGAGTTCAAATAGAAATGAAAAGACAACAACAAAAATTTAAATAATTTGTTGAAATTTGGTGGACCATACAACGTTGTTTCGAGTATTGCCAAATACTCATCATCAGTGGTTTTAGAATGTATTCAAATTTTTTTTTTTTAATTAGTTTATAGTCCGTGTATAATTTTTTTCGACACTTAACCATATCGACACTTAACCATATCATATGTTTACTGTCACTTTAGATGCAATAACTTTGTTTCCAATCATCCAAATGCCGTGAAATATTGATAATACGAGTATAATATAACTAATTACTGATATAGCTCAATAATTAAAAAAAAAAAACTCACAAGATATACCTATTTTTAAGAAGTCATTTTTGTTTTAGACTTCACTTTGCAATTTTTGATTTTTTTTTTTTTGAAAATTTGAATAATACTGTCATAAAATAATGCTATCATAATAATACTATCATACAATGATTTTCAAAAATCATTGCTTAGACATATTGAATGTTAAAACAATATTATCTTTTATTTTTATTTAAAAGTTTTCTTAAACCAATTTATTATATTCTTGTTTTCACGCTTTTCATTCGGCCCTTTCAGTCTTTAGGGAAGAGTAATGGCATCATATGCGCTTCATCCCTAGTCCATTTAAAGTATTCTTTAATCAAGCGCTTCTCCGTACAATACAAATGCACAAAAAATAAAACCGCATTGATCTTTCTTTCTCATAACAGATGCTAAGCCTTTCTAAGGCTAACAGATGTATTTTTCACTTCTACTCTAATCAATATCTTATACCAATACGCAGCATTTTTTAACACTCCTCTCTAGAGTACTTAGTAATGATAGATAATTTCAATTATATTCTTTTTCCCAATAAAGAATAGGAACCATTAATAAGATTTTAAATATTGAATATAAAATATGCAAGAAAACAGTAGCAAAATGCAGGAAAATGTTAAATTAACATTATGTATTATAATTTATATGAAAATGCCAATAAGTCCAACAATTACTTCTTATCTTATAATGTAACTAGAAAGTAAATGAAATGAGAATCATAAGTTTAAAGTACATTCATAAGAAAGTAAGTTAGTCGTATTTAAAACAGCACGTATCTAATATTGCTGTAATATTGCTAAATTAATTGGACCCATTTTTGTTAACAAAAATTATTCCATAAAGTTTATATTAAGAATACCATAAGGTAAAGCAGATGCTATTACAAAATAAATAATATGAGAATTATAAATTTCATTTAATTTATATTTTTCATTTATCATTCATATATCACTGAAATGCTCATTGCATGATATAATACATACAGTAGAAATCAATATATAGAAACTATTCAAGTATTTTATTTAATTGTTACTTTAATTTACAAACACGGAAGTTATTATCGTTTAACTATTTTGATTCTGATCTATCAGTCTTGGAAAATTTTTAAGGGAGGAGCAATATGCACTTTTTGGCTACTCCCTATCGGGTAATATTTATTCAAAAACAAGATAGTTTATGAGATGTAATCCAATATTATATTTATCCAATATAAGTTTCTTATATTCCTTATAGGGTTCTCGAAAAAGAAATTACAAAAATCATCGTTTGTTTAGGCTTATGCACAAAATATGACACTTTGCTAATCCTTTGTTCTCTTAATTAGAAAAATTATCCTTAAGATGAAGACAGAGAAATAACAATACTTCCTGTACTGTCTTTTGCTCAGGCCAGCAAAATTAAGACATTCTACTAAGGAAGAATCCTCAAACTAATGCATCATGCATACTACTACTACATACATAAAGGAATTAAATGTGGTTTATATGTAAAGGAACATAGTACAACAACTTTTAGGCAGTGGTTACAGATAAGTTACTGCAGCCGTGCGGCAAATTGGTTTGTGGATTTAACTAATAGAATGTCTTAATTTTGTTCGATACAGGTATTAGCATTTCTGTCTGCTACCGGTTGATATCTGCGATAAGATAACAGGTAGGATGCAGGTAAAATGAAAAATTATCAGGCAGCTGCATTAGTTAAATCAGCTTAAACACAGCGGCTGCCTAAAAAATGTTGTATGTTTTTACATGCAACCTTCATTCAGTTACTGAATGTGAATGATATCTTCGAAGGGTATCATAATACTAATGAACATCACAAATATAGTCTTTTAAAAAAATCTTCTTTATCATCAAGCAATTTTATTTTAAAACTTAAAACTTAAATTTCTATCCAAGTAGCCTATGATCTACTTAGAATCGCCAAAAAAAAAATAATATCTCCTGAAATGATGCGGAACGTGTAGGCTCGACTTGAACGACATCCACGCCTTAGTGATGATCAAATGGTCAAAGAACTAAAAATATCCCAGTCAAGCATGTGACGTATATTCCAAAATGTGCTCAAGGTAAAACCTCACAAGTTTCAAAAGACAGTTTTCCCTTGAGCAGTTCATAGAGTCTAACTGCTCAAAATGATTATGTTTACTCAACTTAATGCACTGCCAAAAACACTGCGAATGAGTCAATGAATGACCACCCGAAATATAGTGATAACATGGGCAGCTGTGACCGCCGATGGACGCTTTCTAATCGTTTTCATCGAACCTGGTATCAAAGTCAATGCGATCGGGACAGTCAATCGTGAAAATGTTTTGAAAGTTACTTTAGAGCCATGGACACACAAACATTCCGGTCGTAGACCATGGACGTTTCAACAAGACCTAACATCGATCTCGGTCTCATACAGCTCGTGTAAACCAAGAATGGTTACAAAATCATGTTCCACACTTCATATCGTCCACACAATGATTTTCGAATTCGCCACATGCAAATCCGATGGTCTATTCCATCTGGACCATATTCGAAAGCAAAGTGAAGACTAGGGACTAAAAAATATACCAGTAAGGATGCACTGACGAAAGCTATTGTTCAGAAATGGATCAAAATACTAGAAGAACACATTATTTTTTAACCGTTTGAAGTCCATAGTCAAGGCAAAAGTTGGCCACATCGAACTAGAGTGAATGGATTTTGAAATTTTGATTATTTCTTCAAATTTTCACACAACAAAGATATAGTTGCTTATATAGGTGACATTTCTAACCCTGTACATTCAATAAATTATTCAATCATTTAAAATATATTTTGATTATATAGTATAACAGTATCATAGAAATCTAAGTTTATCTTATTAATCATTAAACAATTTAGAGTAAATATTGATTTTACTACTAATACCATTTTTAAAAATTTTAAAATTTATAGCATATCAGTAAATATTATTTGATCAGTTGTTAGTTATATTAATGTTATATTTTTTAAAAAACTTAAATTAAAAATTAGAACAAATTATTAAAACCATTCAGTTAAGTATTTTTAAAACAAATTTATGTTAAGCATTTTACGCAACATTTTTAACGTAATGGTTTTCTTATTTTCAGGTGCACAATCAATGCAAAATTAAGTAAGTTTTTTAATAACAAACATTTTTATTAAATCATAACTAAACTATTTGAACCATAAACTCTTATAAAAACTAGGCAAATAAGTTTCTTCCATATATCCTATTATAAGTCGAAATTCATCAAAATCATAGAATATGGCTTCATCTATTAACAGCTTCATAAATTAAACTCAACTAAACAATTATAAATAATTAATAATTTAGAAAGTGTTTTTAACGAATTTAACTGATGTCTTCATAGTTTATTAGCAAATAAAATAAAATAATATATAATGAATTGCCTTTATAGCAGACTTCCCTCTCCAATGAAGGAAATTTACTTACCTTCATTTATGCGCATATAATCATGAAGCTATAACAATAGTATGGCAATATTATAATGATTTTTAGCAGGGATTTCCATCAATTTTATTATTTGCATTCATACATACAGACTTACCCACAATATTAACACCCATTATAGCTACTGCAGTTATAAAAATGCTGGCGAAAGCATTGGAATTGAATAAAAGGTAAAACCAGAAACAAAAAAGTACATACTACGAAAATGGTAAGAACTAAAAGGAGATACTTTCTATAAAAGGCCTCCTATTAAATATTTACATAAATATTTTAATATGTGAATTTTTTCTGTTCCCGAAGTTAAAAAAAACTACCAACTACCAAAATTTTACGTTATGTCTAAATCAGCCGTCGAAATATGTTAGGAAAATTTGGCTAAGCAATGATATACTTTTGTCTAATACCCATCATCAGCGCTTTCTTTATAATAATATAAATAATTCTTTCTGGTTTATATTTTTATGAACTCCAAGTACTAGATATGATTGGTTGGATTTTGTGGCGACAATGCTTTTTCTTCTGTGCAAGGACCATGTTACCACAAACTCACTCATAAAAATCTTATTTTTAAAACTAGTCTACACTGTTAATAAATGAAGTTTATTATTTGAAAGTCTACATTTGGGAATTCCGCCAGACACATTAGTTCGAAAACTTCCAGAGGGAGTGCCTTATACTTCCTAGTACTACGTATTTGCAAAGCATGTGTTCTTCTGCATTTTGGGTTGAAAAGACACATAATTTTTCGACAACTGACCCTGATCATGACCTGTTAACAATGTTATGAATTTTGTCACTTCTATTTTGTCTCTGACTAATAGGATTTACGTTCTCGACTGGTTTCTCGAAGAAACTCGTTCTTGCTAGTTTTCCATTTGCATTCCTTTGCTCTTAGAAAATAATTATCGAATGTTTTCAAGTACCTTTAATGAAATCAGTATATATTTTTGTTTGCTGAAGCTACATCTGATCCTTATCAACTAGTTCATCCGCAATTTACTTTCCTTGCATTTCTAGGATTATTAGAATCCAGAACATTAATATTGTGCTCTGGTTACTTACTGCCCTCAGTTGAGTTTTATATTACTTTACTAGCATTGATTTAATACTACGACCGTACAGCGGAGGAATTACTACTCTATCTGAGAAAATAGCAACCCACTGATTTAATGGATTATTTTCTAAATTAGTTAACATACCTCTTTAATAGCAAAGATTTTGAATCGAAAAACACTAGATGAGCTCACAAAGTAAAAGGATTTCCTTTTTAAGCTAAAAAACTACACCTAGACAACATTTTGTTTTAGAATCATGCGTGAAATTATGGTAATCCCAATTGATTATATCAAATGGGAACATTCACTTCGCGATGGAAGTTTGAACCAGATTTAGAACTTTGAGTCTGTAAAATTATTGAAGTTGAGATTCCTAAAATTTCAAAGCTTCAATTTTTAAACTTCAAATTTTTTGTTACTCCAATTTCAATTAATGGTTTTTTTTTATATTGTATATGATAGTTCCAGATACTTTTTCGGAAAATGTACGTATATTTGTCTTTAGTCTTAAACATTTTCAGTCCTAACTACTAAAGATAGTTTTTAAATTATTCTGAGAGGTTGAACTACCTCAAGCTCATAACCTGAGATTGCAAACATAGTTGTTAGATATAATCGAGTTCCTTTGTAAATATAGTATTCAAATTTAGCTAACTATTTAATAAATATATTAAAATGTTTTTCTAAATATAATTTATTTAAATAACAATACACTTTTTACTACCAATACTTTATAAAGAACAATTTAAACTTACGACATTTTACGACAATAATTATAAACTTTTACAAATATTCAAATTATAAAATAAAGTAGTAAATTCAATACTTAGTTTCAACTTGGTTTTCAGTTTTTAATGGATCATTTAACTTGTGTATCTCTACCAAGCATTTGCGGTATTCGTTAAAAGAAATCAATTCTGGATTTTCACATTCTGTTATCTTGAAAATGTTTGGACTAAAGAATTTCTTACTAGCAATGGTAATAGCAAGTAGCAACCTTCGATTTGTAGGAAAATGTTTTGTAACCAAATTCTTATACTTCTTCACAACTTCAGCGATGGCATCTGCATAATTAGGTACAGGTTTCTTCTCAAAATTGCAATTTATTATAGCACTATAGCCTTCGGATATAATGTGTTGCTTCCAGATATTAACTGCATCTAAATGGAAACTGAACTTCTTCAGAAACTTATATATCTCTGTAGCATGTTCAGCATTACCACTTTGTAGCAACTCTATAAATGTTTTCGAAATAAGCGCAATTTTACTTTCAATTAATGCCTGAAAAAAGAAAACATTTTTTAGAAAATGATTAAATTTTCTTAAATCATTCGACTTACGTTTTCACAGACTTCATTAATTGACTCAATAATGTTCCAAGTTGTTGGTAATTTTAGTTCGAGCATACGAGTAATTTCCTCTTTGATGCGATTTGCAACATACTTTGTATACTCCAGCAAACCAAGCTTCTCATAGTTTTCATCGGAGTCTTTTGTATAGAAATCCATTGTTTTGTCTAACAAATCATTAATGAATTGTTTCTCATACCGGTTTGTACAAGGTAAGTTCAATGGATTTTTCTCTCCCATACTTTGTTCAGTAAAATTAAGAATTGCGTTTCGTAAAAAGCTTTTATCTATTTTGTTACCAGAACGGTCCATTGCCAATAAATTGAAAACCGATCTATTAAGAATGGGAAGAGAACTTTTTAAAATGCGGAGTTCCCAAATTTCCATTGCTGATTTATAAAAATCCAATGGTTTCTTTTTAACCAGCTTTTCGACATTGTTTATCCAATAGAAATGCACAGGGGTGCAAATAGCTCCCAGTACCTTACTACTTTGTTTGTATTTGTTCGCTTCCTTAGTATATTGTACAAGGTACTCTTCATCAGTCTTAATAACGTAGTTGATATCATATATATCACGTACATAATTATGTAAAAATGTGATGACTGCTAAAAAAATTTCACGACAAAACGCAGCGAATTTACTGCTGGCATTGACATCATCTACCTCCCAAGTAATGTTTTCCTTGAACATGGTATACACTTTGTTCTGCAATGACATATACAAGTCCACATTTACATCCTCCGATTCATAAATGATTTTGATACCAGCGACTAACTCATCTACGGTTTGGTGTACTTTTGGTGTAAGTGCCATTTTACAGTTAATTTGCATCCAAAGATATGAAAAATTAAATGATAAAGTTGAAGACTGAAAAAATTTACAATAAATTAAAAAAATAAAAACTGTACTTTATTTAGTTACTATAATTTAATTCTATATAAAATGTTAACTGATTTTATTTTTTTCCAAAATAAACAATAAAATTGATTGTTAGAATACAGCATAGGCTTAGATAAAGTTTATCATTCCAAAAAATCTAACTTTAATGACCAAGTCCAATAGAATGTCACTATCTAATATAACATCAAACATATATAAGTACGTAAGGAACAAAAACACGCGATTATGACAGTAATTTTTTTTATATTTTTTATCACTTTATTCATATAGAAGCTCTTTTTAGAGCCCAAAATCTATGTTCATGCGTTCTAACAGGACCCACCGACTAAAATTATCAAAATATTTCCCAAAAAATGTAAAATCAAAAAGAAATTCGAAGTTTTTAGTTTACTCATTTTTAATCACTTTGACAGTTTCATTTTAAAAGTACCGGACGATGATTGTAATAATAGGGACTGCTGAGAGAAGTCTTTGGAACCAGTTTCAGCCAAGTTTCCGAAATGAGAAATTATTCAAAAATAAATGAAATGAGAATTATAAATATGAAACGTATGACACTTAAATTTTATAAGTCCATTTAACTTTGAAAACAAAATAGCTATATTTAAAAGACCAACATGTGTTGTGTTGTTGTAAGAACCGATTGGATTGTAGTCGTTTACATTAAAATACCGATAACTATAGTAATAATGTCTCATCTTATAATGTAGCCAGGAAGTAAATAAAATGAGAATTATAAGCTTCATTTAATTTGTATTTCTCATTTTTGTTATATCGCTTAATGATGCATTGTGTAATATGATATATAAATTCAAAAATCAATATATAGAAACTATTTAAATAATTAATTTAATTGTTAATTCAATTGACAAATACAAAAATTGTTATCATTTTTATTGTTGTTTTTGAAAAACTTCTTCCTTTTGGTCATAAAAAAAATAAAGATCTAATTTATTCTATTCAGCACTTAAAATATATAACATGTAAAGATTATAAATTTATTATATTTAATTATATTATATTATATATATTATATATTATATTTTATTATATTTATATTTATTTAAATTTATATAATATTTAATTTATTATATTTAATAAAATTAAGTTTTAAACCAAACCATGAAAATAAAAACTGATTTTTATATATGTATGTATGTATATATGTATTTTTTATTTATTGTTTTTTTTATATATGTATATATGTATTTTTTATTTATTAATTTTATTATTAGAATAGAAGAATATTCTATCTATAGTAATGGAAATAAATGAAAATATTCCGTTCAATAAAAATGAGAAATATTGGTTTTATTATATTTATAATTTTTGTTTAATAAATTTTAATGAAGGCTCATTATACATAATAAATATTTAATTGTTGTTTTAATACAACAATAAATAATATTTTTTTACTGTAATATTATATAATATTATTAAAATATAAATAATATTTTAAATTGTTGTTTTCTTAAGCTTTTAATATAATGAAGTAGATTTAATTACTATCACTATTTATTTCATTATTAAAAATTTTTTTAAAAAATGTATTATTTAACTACTGACCAACTAGCCCATTAAAAAAATAAATTATTATTATTACGTATTTAAAATCCGTAAGTTATTATTAAATTTTTAAATTATATTGGTTTTGCAATTATAAAATTAAGTCATACGATGAATTTAACTAAAATGATATCAGATCTTATTAATATGAAAATAAATAATATATAACTAAATAACGAAATCAGCAGGAAAGAGTAATGTAAAAGTAATGTAATGTAATGTAAAGTAATGTTTTAAAACTATTTATCAAACAGAATTAAGATTTTTTACTTCTTGAAACAACTTGTATTAAAAAACCTTTATAGATAAATGAGAAGGTGTTAGACTCTGAAAAAATAGAGGATTGAAATGTACGACATTTAAAGTTAAAATAAAGTTAAGGCATGTATTGTTCTATTGTCAAGGATTGAACATGACTTGAAGTACATTTACCAAATACATTATTCTTTTCTAAAGCATTACAAAAATACTATAGCTGAGGTTAAGGTAGAAATTGTGTCCAAAACAAAAAAAAACGCGTACTTGAAAATTGATATAAAATATGTCAGTACATATTCCTATCAAGGTGGGGTTGTAGCAAATCATTATTGTTTAAAGATGTATTTATTGATCGAAACAAAGTTTTTTTTCTTTATATCAATAAATATTATTGATACTATATTGACTTTTGAAGTCGAAAGTATAGTAAATGCAGTACAATATTTGTAGTTCTAAAAAATTAATTATTTGGTGTATGTAATATGGTAATGTGGGCATACATTACTATATTACGTATTATTATTATATAGTATTATAAAAATACACAATAGTATTTTTGACAAATTAAACCTTATAACAAAACGATCTACGCTTGATGTCGAATCTAAATACTTTATTTTGAAGTGTGATATTAGTGCGATTTCGCAAAAACTGTTGACTGGCAACATGGAACAAATTGATATTACAATTGCTTGAAATGCCCCACATAGGCTTTATTTGTTTCATTTTTAATTTTGTTGTTATTTTGACATTATGTAAAACTTTCCATGTCAGTCTACCATCTATATGAATACCGAGATACTCTATCGAATTACTTTGAGAAAAAGCAGAATAAGCGTATGAAACCTCACGAGCATTATTCGACTTACGCTAATCCTTGTGCGTTTTAATACAGCTTTAGCTCAGACTATAAATGCTAAGAAACTTCGAAACTTAATAAGGTAGATACTGTAGTAGTTGAGTCATCACCATTTTAACATTACATTTTGTTACTTTATTCACGTATATCAGAGAAAACAGTGGCAGAAAACGCAGCCGGAAATATCTGCATTTAATGGTTACATAGAATATGTTCCATTTTTTTTTTGCTGCACGTAACGTACTATTTCTTCATGACTTAATTAGTATATGATATGATATGGTACAGTAGTCATTTCTTTATTTTAAAAAAAATATCAACATCTCTGACAGCGTTTGAAATGTTCACATGTGGAAGATTAATAAATAATGCAGTACAATATACTTCATATTCAAAATTTGTTCTAATTTCAATGACTTTTGTCGCAGCTTCTTTAGCTAGAAGAAGATCAAAAATCTTTGGGGCCTCTTCTTGCACTGACTTGACCAAGCTGTCATCCTGCAACATTAGAGACTTAACCAAGTTTATAGAACTCTCAGGTTAGGTTTTCTTTACCTAATGACGGAGTCATTACCTTTTTCGGCGTTGGTTGTATACTGATCTTTCAATTTATGTACATAGCAATACTATTCCTGTGATACCACAATGGGTCATTATTTGAGCTTAAGTAGGCTTTTTGGTAACAAAATTAATAATATTAATTACATATAATATTTTAATATAAATTTAATATTAGTTGATTAAATAAGAAGTTAATTTTTACAATAACTTACTTTTGACATTAAACAAAAGACTTAAACAACAAACTTTAAATAATAGAACTTTTTAAGAATGCACTAATAGTATATATAAAAAAATAAAAATTAATTAAAATTTTATTGTGCAAACAATTCTTATTTAATAATTATTTCATGCTATTAAATTATAATTAAGCTTAAACAAATGTAAAGTTTAAATAGAAAACGATACAACGTGAAATGCAATTTAAAATATTTTGAAAAATTTTTAGAGCACGACGAAGATGCTGTATTTGAACATATCAAACGTGCAAAAGATTTACACTTGCAATTCCTAAAAAAACCAGTTAAGGAGACTTTATTTACAAAAAAAATAGTAGAAAGTAGTAAACAGTTTTGAAGAAATAGTTTTATCAAAAAAATTGATTTTGTTAAATATTGCTGGGAAAATAATTTACCTATGTGACTTTGGTTTCGAAAGTGAAACCTCTATAAAGTAGTGATTATATAGAAATATTCATAAATGAAAAAAAAAAATTCAAAGACATGTCTTACGATAGCATTTTATTTACACAGACTACTACTTTTTATGTTGGAGACAGATACCCTGAGTTGTATTGCATACCACCTCGATCGATGCACGTAGGATATTTCCTACTTGTACTGTTTATGTACCATTATCGTCAAACGACATCATAAATACTTGGTTGATGTTTTTCAGATTTTTTTATTAATTTACGAGCATTTCACGCTTTAACTTTAACCTTTAAATTTCTATATGGTTTTATACAAAAATTTCAAACATTTCCCTCATATGTGTTGAACATATTTTTGGACAGATTGTTTAAGAAAATGCCATAAAATATTAAAATAATTGTATTTGAAATATTTTTATTTACCCAAGTGGTTTTAGTAGTAAATTTTATAACCAATAAGTCTCTGATGTAATTCAGAAATATGAAAATTTTTAATTTTATTTACCTACATAAAGGAAATTGTTATTAACTGCATAATGCACTTTATGATCATTTGATGTAATAAGTAAATAATGTGTTTACATATTTTATGGATACGTTAATTAAAATTGAAATATAGTAGCATTGACTATAAAATTACTGTTTATCTATTTTCAACATTCAAATTTGATATGTTCATATAGTATAAAATAGAAATGTCATAAAAAATTCTGATCCTGTACTGAATATTTCAGTACAGTAAGTTAAATCAGCAAGCCCCTGAACCAATAAGTACATAAAACTTACAAACATCATTTTCGTAAACAAATTATTACATTCTCTAAGATTCTTAAGCATCTGAGTAAAAATATTACTACTTATCATTAAACAACGAATTATTCCTGCTCCCCGTTTTGGTTTCAAAAACAAACGCGGAGTTTCTCAACAATGATACCGTATATTTAATAATCATTTGCTTTTTGAAAGACGTCGAGTGTTGATTGGTGCAAAAAAATACTCAAAACACGTCTACACCATATTGACAGATGACGAAACATGGATCTATGCCTATGAGCCCGAAACCAATAGCAA